TGTGCATTTCGTCTTTTTAAAAAAGATTCATCCAGGGTACAAGAAAGTCTAAAATGTTTCAAATATATGCTGAGGGGGGAAAGTGCAGGAAAACTTGGCACAGCAATTCAGAGACTCATGACTCTTTTTTAATGCAAATTTTTCCTTAAGTATACTTTCAAACATATTGAAACTCCGAACTAAACCTGTTCGGGAATAGAACCATTAAGACAATAGCAGAGTGTTTTTCTTTTTAGATACATGTATTACCAATTTAACTCTTTATAGAAACAAAACACCTCTCACCTAACACCTCTCCACATTCTGCGGTCGTTGGCCTCGCCTGATATTGAATATTGGAATTCTTGCATCTCAGTGCGTTGACAATTAAAGAAGACGTGCCATGTGCCGTTAATCACTGGAGCAACAGGTGGTTGTCCTTAAATGTCAGAAAATAACGCTGCTTCAGTTGTAATTATTCTATTTTAACTTTGTCTTGTTAATTTGTAAAAACGGTTTTCATTATCTGAGCCCGTATTAATAAAACCGTTTTCATGCTCAAACTCAGATTCTGCCAAAGCTCGATTTCTTGTTCCGGTGAAAAATTCATAAAAACACACACACTTTTTCTCAATGATATGAATGAGACTGAAAGCCGTAGGTCTTCTTGATATGCACGCTTGGACTTTCGGACGTGTCACATGATTTAAGCGAGTTGCAAGAGAGTTACAATAGCTGAGCACAGAATCCATGTTTATGCATGAGAACGGTTTCAACGGTTCCATGAATACAGGCCCAGGACCTTTTTGCCTCATACAAAAGAAATAAAAGTAGAAATTATAAAAAAAATAAAAATAAAAAATATTGTTGAAGCAGATGCAATACCAGAATAATTGCATTGTCATTTTGACGTCATGGCTCACAATAAATATGCATAATTATTGACGGAGAAAAACTTAATACTGAATGCTGAAATTCGTGTTATTTAAATAACGAAATTATAAAAATGCATATTCTTTTCTATTGAAAACGGTACACGACCAAGATCAACATAAGATATAGACGTGATTATAGCCATAACAATTGATAACTGATACAGCATGCCAAATCACGCTGTTTCATCCTTATAGTACTAAACATATATTCTTAATTTTCAGAAAATACTACATAAATGAAGAATTACCGTCTGTATTGAAATCGGACAGTTATCTAAAGCATAATTAAAGTGCATGTCAACAGGTTTATTCATATAACATGTGGAAGTGCGAACCTTTTCCCAGCTAAATCTTAACAGTTTTCATGACAATATAAAATGTCATGTCGCTTCCGGCGCCCATATGTTACCCAATATCCACTTATTAACAAATAACGGGTTCTTGACCTTTTAAATCTCAAGTATTTGATCGCCCATATGTTCAGCGTTTGTAAATTGTCAATCTACTGTTATCCAGTAAAAACTCGTCTCGGGTTTGAATGGTGCGTCCTAACTTCATTTGGCGTACGCCGGTCGCGTGCCCTGCCAACTTATTTAGCCTGTAACCATAGCTAACGGTCCTCTATTTTGAAATGTATAAACATCTTGCAAACGGAACATCTGCCACTCCAACTTAACGGATCAGCGTTTTTGTATATTTAAACTCCCCAGCCACGCGTATTTTAATTTCATCAGCCGGCGTTTTTGAGCGTCAAGTTGTGTGCTTTTGATATAATGGAGATATTGTCTCGTGGAATGTTACCTGTTACTATAAGTGTCCTAACCCCGTTTTGTCCGCGACAGGTTAAGGGGGTATGTAAACAGCATAATTGGTCCTCAATTTATCACGAGATTCGCGTGGCGTGCAGACCCTGAGTATGCCACCTGTTGGTTTCCATGGAAAATAACAAGTTTAAGCGATGTTTAGGTCCCCACCTCCACGCTGACACTACAGCCCTTGTCTATTAACTATCAAAACTTTTAAATATGGCTTCTGCTTTATCGTCAATTGGTTATCTCAGATGAACCCGTGCCGTTACCATTAGTGTAATTTTATGCGGACTGAGTATACCTATTCTAGATACTGCTTAACAATAGATCGAGAGCCAAGGTGGCGGCAGATGTCGCGTGCCACTCATTGTCCACACCTGTTACTATAGGTCCCGGCTGAATCCCCGTACGTATAAAGTCTAGTGTACTACCTGTCTTTGTTGTATCTCTCTCAATAAGTGTGTGATAGGGACACCTGTCGCTCTACAGACGCCTTGTCCATGCAAATTAGAACCTTCAAAGACCCAATGTGATTGGACGTCGGATACCAAACTAAGAATACGTGTTCAGAGATACCATAGCATACATCGCTGTTTCTACCGGCAGCTGATCTAATATACAACCCAATATAGAAACTGTCCCATATTGAGCATGCATGCATATTAAAACAATTGATGCATTTATCCTATCAACAGTTAATGCAGTGCTCTGAAATGTAATGTAACCCCTCACAGTATCCCAATACTATGGCGATTTCATGCCTTGTCCTATTGTTATTAAATGTCACTAATAACCACACGGCGATACATCCTTACATCCCTGCATCTTTCCTCAGCTCTGTTATAAGTGGCCTTACACTTTCCCAACAGTGTTTCTTGATTAAAAGTTACCTTACTGCTATTTTCAATAGTCTCTTAATTAAAAGTTGCCCATCACTAGTTATTTGATCACTACTTCCAAAATAAAACCTCTTAATTTAATTGCATAATTGAAACGTTTATTATAATATCTCAAATACATCTATTCATATATTTCAAGCAGTTAAATTCTGCTAAATACTTATCAACCTGTCTCTAGCCGTAACATATGACAGAGTCTGTTAATCTATATACATATTAACTTATCTTTAACCGTTAGATTTCACCCGTTTATTACATTATCAAACCCTTACCGCAGTTTTTATCATCCCGTTATCCGTTTGTTAAATGTCGACAACTCCGGGAAGCGATTCGTATTTTGAAAGGAAAGGTAATTTGCAGATATCCCAGGGCAATTTTGCATTCACTTGAAAAAAAATAATGACACCCCAAATTAGCCTGTTGACGTGAAAATAACATTAGCATTATATACTAATCAACATTAACTTCTAAATGTGCATAAATCTCCATGGTCTATAATGAAGAAAACACGAATAGTCGCCTCCATATTATATAAATGTTCACGATGTCTTTCCAGGTACTATCGATGTTGAATTCAGATTTGATCTTTTTGTGTTGGCGTTGTAGCAGAGTCTGTTTTCTTTTCTTATATAAAGCAGTTGACATTAATGAACGAATAGTATATCGATACGGAATCTGTCATTGGACTTGTCAACTAAGGCAGATGCATAGCGCTATACAGTGTGTCTGCATTTCAGCATTCATTATGATACTAGATATTAGCTGCAAGTAGCTTCTTTTATATATTTATCGATTATATTATTTTATGAAAAACATTGTTGCATGGTGATAAAGAGATAATGCCAGTTTCAATACTTAAGGACATACCGTGCGAAGATGGTATGCATTTTGCATATTTATGTACCATGTGTTGTCCATTTTGATATTTATCTACTTGTTTATTTAGATGAAAACTTTACAATAGAGTCGATTTATATCTATGGTTTGGTTAGAGACTCCACTTAAGGTGATTGTGCAGTTACAAGCGTATGCACGAAGAAACTTCAGTTTGTATTTTAAAAAGTTTTTTATCTGGATTTATCACAATGTGTTTAAAGTTAAATGTATAAAGTGAATTTACTTTCAGTAAAAGGTTGGAATATCATAAAAGCCTGCTTTGTGTCATTATTTGATCGTGTGACAACATGGAGTCACACAGGTTTGTGCTAGCTCGACCTCGTACCCAGGCAGATGTAGATTTCTGTTAACTTTCATGTTGTCACGGTAACTTGCTGTCCACAATGCTCAAGGTAAACTTTTGTCACGCCCGAATGACTCTGTTGATGACGAAGCGATCTAATACGTACGCACGAGATTTGCCGTGTTACATCTTGCTCCGCAGTAGATTATCTTTATAGCCTGTACTGGTTGACATTTTCTTTGTATAAAAATCATTTGGTATGTAATTGTACCTATCAGAAGGATAAAGACGAACGCCAAAGTCAGCCGCAACATTTTAGACAAATTATAATTATGTTCTTCAATGAGCAAAAATGTATTTTAAGGCACATGGACAGATTCAATACTTCATGCCTAGACATAACAAATAACTTCGAAAAGACAAAGAAATCTAGAATGGCCGACAGCGGCCGACACCTCGTACACACGTATTAGAAAATCCGTCTAAACATTGATAATACTATTTTTGAACACCTCATTTTCCCGAGAGACACGCATGCATCGCATTGTCTGCAAATCAGTTAAAGCAACTTGAATACTGTTTCACCAACTATGCTATGATCCTGATATACACTTGATCATGCCACAATATGTATTCATCACGTTGAAACTGACATATTTTTTTGTAACGATCACAAAAATGATTGCTACTAAATACCTAATATCGTTAAACGTTAATTTTACTACATTCGTTTTACAGCGACTAATTGACAAGTGTATGTAACCCTTATTGATTAGTAATGACGTCATTACGAGCGAGTGGTTGTATGGCATAGAACAGTAGACAGGTGACTTCGGCTGACATTGAGGTTACAAAATATTGCTCGCCGGGTCAAGTTTCTATAAAAAGTCAAGAAACAAATTGTATACAGCAAATGGGTCTGGTTTAGATTTTGTTTTATAAAAACCTCTTTATTGTACGTATTTTTAGACGGCTGGTTCACTGTTTATTGACAATCCTTTGTAGCTGACAATAAATAATGCCAAACTTAAACATATGTACACGGATAACACTCAAATCAATCACAATAAACAATTTCTTCCAAGAAAAAACCTTACCCGGTATTTATTTTTAAAACCATTTTTCTTTTTTCAACCAATAGGTAAATACACACAGTACATACATAATTTATCTGAAGGATTACATATATTTTGGAGTGTAGTAAATGGTTTAAGTAAAGAGTGAATAAGCATCATCCCGTCCATGTACACATTGAAGTGCCCGTCCGGTTGTGTAAGTCAATGATAACAGCACAACTACCGCTACCATTTCCAAGTAAACCCGATATATCTCTGGTGGGTCTAACACATTTGGACACGTGACTCATGCAGATACCGTTTTTTGTGATGTGTCCGGTTCTCATTTCTGTGAAAAGAAAAATGTCTCATTTATCATATGTGAATGCTTGGTATTCCTAAAGACATATAAAGCCAATACGTCTCTGGTATTCCATCTAAAACACTTTGTAATAGTGTTGTATCTAAAAGTCATTTTTGAATTTATCATTGCATATTATATTTTCATATAAAATTTTGCTGAATTGATTTTGTATGATAATAAGCCCTTGGAAGATAAATGTTTGGTTTGTTTGTGTTTCACGCCCTATTGATAGCTATGGTCATTAAAGGCCAGGTTTTGGTGGTGGAGGAAAGCCGGGGTTCCCGGAGAAAAACCACCGACTTGCGGCCAGTACCTGGCAGCTGTCCCTCAATCCCGCGACCCAGTGATAAAGACGGTCAGACGCCTTAACCACTCGGCCACCGCGGCCCCAAAAAAACGTGTCCGTAAAGAGGGGACAATAAGATAAATAATATACCGGTGTTATGGTACTGACGCTGGATTATAACTCTAATTGGCAATATAAGCACGTGTTTTATTACGTAAACAACATTTATCTTCTTGTTTGTTGAAACTATTACTATAAAAAGTAACAGTCCTTTGGTATTTGACGATATTTGCAAAAAAACAAATCTCTATCGGTTTTTCCAATAAATATAAAATAACATCTCCAATGCTATTACAATAAAACATCTTTGGTGAAATTCCCCCCTTGACTATAATAATATCACAGGGATATGATCACCAATTAACAGTATATATGACTTGCTTATGATATTGATGTTGTTGTCTATGTGAAAGTGGAAGCGTATAGTATAGCCAATGGATCGTCCTAAAAGGGTTTCTCATTGTTCGTATTTCGACGCTTTCTGTCCTAATTTAGTATGTATTACACGTGTTTGGGTTTTTGTCGTGGTTTCACTGTATTTGTTGTGTGTTACTGATTTGGTTGTGTTCGTGGTTGTCAATGTTCGGTGTGTGTTACTTGTTCGGTTGTGTTTGTGGTTGTCAATGTTTGGTGTGTGTTACTTGTTCGGTTGTGTTTGTGGTTGTCAATGTTCGGTGTGTGTTACTTGTTCGGTTGTGTTCGTGGTTGTCAATATTTGGTGTGTGTTACTTGTTCGGTTGTGTTTGTGATTGTCAATGTTCGGTGTGTGTTACTTGTTCGGTTGTGTTTGTGGTTGTCAATGTTTGGTGTGTGTTACTTGTTCGGTTGTGTTTGTGATTGTCCATGTTCGGTGTGTGTTACTTGTTCGGTTGTTTGTGATTGTCAATGTCTGGTGTGTTACTTGTTCGTTTGTGTTCGTGGTTGTCAATGTTTGGTTTGTGTTACTTGTTCGGATGTTTGCGATATTTAAAACAACACAACTTGACGTTATTGCAATAACAATCTTCAAACAGTAAAAGAAGCGCTATACGAGACATTGATATAATACATGTGTTATTGAACACAAATAATTGTTGTAAATATGACATGTTGGCATGGAGATATTATCTCCTTGTTGCGGCTAACACCTGACGCCTAAGAAAACAAATGCACGCTATTTTCGTGTTATTGCAGCTTTGATTATATCGTGCTATATGTTTTAACCATGTTGTCAGGCAGCAAGCGGAACTTTCTCCCAAGTATTCTTATCAACCTTTTCTTTGGGTGTTATTAACATGAATTTATCGACAAACATAAACAGTGGACACGACGACAACTGACTAATTGTCAATAGAATAGATTTTGTGTACTTTAAATGAGAGATTTTACGACCTTGTTATCCTTATGCTCCATATGCGATTTAGTGAGATCGATATCCACCTCAAGTGATCAAGTTTCCAAGTTTTACTCAAACTTTAGGCCATTGGCCCACAGTATACGATACCTATCATACACAAGTCGTGGACAATGCACAGAGAATGAAGACAATCATATTCCATTATAATACCCTTAATGTGTTTGCCTCATAGATGAATTTCCCTAGTATACACAATTCTTTAATATTATGGACACTCAATAACTGAACGACTTTAAACACAGATGTTTTTTTCCAATAATAGCTTTTGATAAAACTGGAATAAGAGATTTTGGAATTTAGAACAGACCAATAAAAAATGAAATTCGTCCTCTAATTCAGAGGGGGAGTTACACTGTTTACAATATCTACGTTCTCTGTGTATGTAATAATACCTTTCAACTTCTACAGCCAAAGAATGGGTAGATGTATGGATTCGAGTTAAACAAATGCGATATTTCTTTGGTATATATTTTGTGAGGTAAAATTGTAATGATACAATAAACATTTTGGAGAGTTTTCCACTGTGGCCCTTATGAATGCTATGCCTTGATAAAAAAATACTTTGTTTTATCAATGGTTATAACACATTTTGCTGAGAAATACATGGATCTAACCAAACATCACTAAGACCTAGATTATTTAACTCATCTCTTACTGCTTTAGCCCAGTTGAAATAATTACTACTACAACATTGTTATAAGAATATATAGGAAGTGGATATAATAAAATTTTAAGATTTTAAGATCTTAAACCAATATTTTATCATTCTAATTTTTCTCATCAAAACTAGAGGTAACCGTCCCAATTCAAGATATACCATGTTGTTATTGGCCGATTTCTTCACTTTAAGTAATTTCCTACAAAAATGTTAATGTACATGTTCTATCTCTGGAGCTTTGTGCATACACCAAATTTCACTTGCATAAAAAAGATACTGCTTACATATGTATCGAAAAAGTGGAGCATAGTTTTTACATTTAAGTTTAATGATGAACATTTTGAAAATAATGCAAACATACCTTTTGTCCTTGGATAGCTAATTGATTTTGGTTAGAAGTGAATTTATTGTTGTAATTTAAAATAACACCTAAGTAAGGGAATTGATCCACACATTCGACTTTACTTCCTTTGTAATACTATTTTTCATCATTATGTAATCTTCCAACTTTTCTAAAAACTACAATTTCTTTTCAGTATTTACAGTTTAATTCCATTCAGTACAATAATTTTCTACATTATCAAGCATATCTTGGAGACCTACAGTCTCAGAGAATAATACTAGATCATCAGAATATAGTATCAGATATAAACTGTCAAACAATTTTGTATTGATCAATTTTTACAAAGATGGCATGCAAACGTTCGAAATTCATCTCGTGGTGAACTCTATGGTAACTTTAAGAAGAAACATGAACTTGAGCCCTATTTGACTCGCCTTTCTGAAAAAAACAGGTCAATATTATGCAAATTTAGATGTTCTAATATGAAATTTCCAATTGGAACGGGTAGGTGTCATAATATTCAAATTACACTCTATGTAAAAATGATCCAGGCGACGAATTTCATTATTTATTCAAATGTATAAATTTGATAATTTTAGAGCTTAGAGAAAAATATATTCTTTTGTATCATAGAAAAAACACCTCTCAAATTGAAATGAGTGGTCAGTTGTCATTTTGTATCACGAAAGTATTAAATGGAATTTTGTCTTTTGTTGGAAAAAAAATAACAAACTGTTGTAATATGTATCATGATTAATGTTTTGTGTACTTGCCATCCATTTTGTCATCACATGTGTATTATTATACTCTGATACCTCATGTTGTACATTTTAATGTATCTGAGGAAAAACAATAAATTTGTTAACTTGTAAACTTGTATTGCAACACAGGGACATGTCACACGCTATATAAATGACAATTTATATAATTAGTGGGAATCACAGTATACAAATATACTGTGACGCCCACTCATATATATCTTCAGTTATATAACTTGTGAAATGTCCCTGCGCATTCCAACGGCCATCTTTAAAATTCCAGGGGTTACGCTCACAGAACGTAAGTGAGCAAAATCCCTGGAATTTCGAGGATGTGCATTGAATACAAGGCTAACTCACAGCACGAACTTTAAATGCCCGACTATTCTGACTGACAAAATATCATTTATCGTTGGTCAGTTCTAATCTAAGTAGTCTAACCTACTGTTGAAAAAGAGAATAGATGCATAAACTGCTTAATTTAAGAATTTCAAAATTTAGAGGAGTACTGGTAAATTTATAAAAGTAAATAATTAGTGAAGTATGTAATGTTATGAACCATGGTAATACGCAATAGAGATTACTGTGGCAACCAAGACTACGTTAAACCCTGGAGTCTAAAAATACCATGTTATTTCTTATTTACCTTATATCATGAATTGCAGTAGATTTTTGTTACATTAGAAAGCTAAAACAAAAAGTTAGGCTTGCTATTTGTTTACGTTCTATAAATCATTATTGGTGAATTTGTTACATCATTTGTATATTGAATCATGAATGAACCGTTCTTTTGATATATAAACCTATATGTGTGTGTATTAAGTTTGTAGTTGTAGTAAATCTCTACGCACGTTAAGGGGAATACACATTTTTAAAATGAAAAAGCACGCAATCAGGGATAACAGTACACGTACCCGCGATTAAGCAACACTATAAGCATTGTTCTTGTTTTTCTTCGTTAGTGTCGCCATGACGTGGGGCACCTGGGGAATGATGTCAGGTGCCAGTGGAGGTCCAAACCTCGGGAGGTCCTGTCCAGTCACCTGAACGTACATCTGTTGCAAACAAATTTGTTTATATAGGTCATTTTATGGATTCAGGAACTTGTTTTAGATGCAATGCGTTGGTACGTATTTTTTAGAGCATGTATCCATACGACGTATTATAAATAAACAACAAGTAATAGCTGAAACAGCTCATATATGTACCTTATAAAATTGATAAAAGTACATTTTCAGGACAATACAAACTTTAATATAACTGATATTTAAAGGAAAAAAATATTAAACACTAACTTCTTCTGCATGTATGTGCATGGTGTTAAAGTATATTTTCTAATTAGTAAGATGATAACTAATTAATATGATTTAATGACTGACATAGATATTGGAGTAGTTAACGGCTATTCATTAGGCAGTACAACGTACTGTATTTGTAAACGTATATATTCGCCATGATAGTACAATATCCTATGATTGAACCATTATACAACCATATCATAATTACTGTTGTTTTAGCTTATCGTTTGTATTACGTATATCTATAAATGTTTTGTAGTTTTTAGCAAATAAACCTTTTCTATAAATAAGTATACCACTTTTTGTGAAGGTAACATTATGGTTATCAACATTAGTAGACTCATAGCTTTAACATTTTATTTTTTTCACATTTCATTTCTTGAATATATGCTTCATAATTCTTAACAAACTTGCTTAGTCTACATTAACTCTTATCGGCATATTTTAATGTATTACCATTTCACATGCATTCACACAAATATTCAAATAATAGTACTGGGGAAAGCAGTGTTTCTATATATAGATACGTCAATAATACTAGACTATTTCATGTAATGTATCTACTTTCGTTTTCACCTATGTCGTAGATCTGTCATATCAAGATCAAGTAGTTATAAAAAGATTAAAGAAAACCTGAGTGCACATAGCTATTTTAAACATCAACTCAATTGTATGCATGTTCTATAAATACACTTTCTCTTCAACGATCTTTAGTGGGCTTATGGAAATATCTTATAAACTCACTTTCACATTAAGCTTTCTTTCTGTTATCGACAATGCTCATTTACGAGTATACGAACATGAAGGAATTGGCAAGCAGTCCTTAGATGTAGGTGTTCTTAAAATATTGATTAGACAATCAATTGTTGCTATGAATAGAATTCATGGAAAATGCCACGCCTCTCATATGCACATAGAAGAAAAACTCATTAGAATCTTATATAAAAGATAACTTAATGTAAAACGTTATGAAAGTGTTACACGACCTTCATGTGTCTATACAGAAACAACGCATACACGGAGTTCTTGTCTAATAATAGAAATAGGAAAAGAAGACCACCATTAAAAGGAGGTACTAAAAATATTTCAATAGGCAATGCGAGGAAAACGTTTCAATGGTAGGCATGACCGTATCAACCCTCAGCTGAGTGGGAGGCAAATTGAAACTGAACTGGGGTGCAGGCGTAAAGTCATTATATGTTTAAAAAAATCGGTTTCGGTTTCGTGTTTAAAATTGCTATGGCTATGTCTTAAGCTGCAATATAAATTTGAGGACAAAAAAAAAATAGAAAAGAAACGACAAGCTAATAATAATGTCATACAGATAAGCATATTTAATATCTAACCATAGTTTATTTGTGTATGAATAATATTCAAGGAGATATGATAATACGTAATCACTCTATGATCATACATATTTTATATCTATCAAGTCGTTACGAGACAAATAAATAAAATCAAGCTACTGCATAGAAGATGTACGGGCCCCAAAAAAACGACACCAATAGGGCAGCCATGTGAACAACAAAATCCGGATCTGTATCTCATGACTTATGTGACCCATTTCCTTTTTAGCCATCCTTTGAATAGGGACAAAAGCAGCGAACGACTAACAAAGTATTTTATAAACCATGACACTCAAAACAATACATTAGTGAATATATTTAGTTCCCTCTTCTAGGAGCTGTAGATAGAAATTGCAGCAATCTAAAATGGAATATGAATATTTCTTGAAAACACTAACGGCTAAATCTAGCATGATTTATCACAAACGTAAAATCGTTAACAGATATGACTTCTTCGAAGTGGGATAATTTTAGAGTCTGTGAAACTGTAAATCAATTCTATATAAAGCATCGAAGTCTATTATTGTCAAGATGACTAATTTCCATAGAGAAGAATATTATAAATATTGTACCTTTATGCTGCTCTGACAAACCTAGTAAACATGTTCCTTTAGCTTCTACACAGCATGACTTACTGATTAACCAAATAATACTTAATTCAGAAAATTTTATATGCAAAGATACAAATCATCTATATATAGAATTCGGAATTAGACTTTAACTGGAAATGAAACTAACTAAATATAGAGTTACCAGGAAAGGGTTACAGATGATCTATCTCTGTAGTATAACTCTATATCGTTATATAACAGTAGAAAACCCTTGGCCACATTCAAGGTTGAAATGGCATTACTAATGTCTCAGCGTTATATTAAATATATTCAAGATCGTTTGTGATCGAACAAAAAATAGGTAACATTCCTCTCAGTCTGCGTATGATAATATGTACATGAACATACATTTACTCGTTTTAACATTCCGCAATCTTTCCGATATCACATGTTATTATTCAAGGAAAGTTTTAGCTCTTAAATGGAATGATGTTCTTAGATTATTAACTAGAAAATAATTGCTTCTAAAAATAGAATTCACTGAAAATGCCGATACACTCATATGTACACATAAGGTAAAGTTTTACATTCCTCGTTGGGTTTTTTATGTCAAGGACAAATGGAGTTGAAATCTAACCTATTTTTATTCGAGTTTCTTACATAGAAGAGTATTCTTCTTTTTTCAAAGCAAACCTCAATTCGGAAAATTTATACTAAAGAAAACAATAAATCTATTTAAAGAAAGCTGATATGGAATTTTACTTGGTATAAAGCTAACTAAATATAGATTTAAGGGAAAATGCTGAACGTTTTGCTCAGATTATTTCAATATATCTATCGGGTTTAGACATGTTTTTTGATAGGGGAATGAAAATGTGACGGAATCTACCCAGCACATTGTATGGTCACACAGGGCGGCTTGTAGTGACTAGTACAATGAATCAGGGCAAATCTTAAATCTGTGCAGTCGAAGGGACACAACTGTGTAAATTTCACCCCAGTCGTTGCTATCGTCGCTACGATCTAAAGTCTGCCTCCTCGTGCCTTGGTATTCTATTTTTGGAAATGATGTCACATTTTGAGCAAGGTCACGATTCTTCACCTATTATTATTTTTTTATCTACATTTGAAAGTCTGAACATCAATTTGAACATTATTGTCTTATATATAGAACAGTTACAATGCAGAGCTAAATATTTAGTAGTTTGAAGTGGCTAATATATCTTGCACGAAATAATTCATGTCACGAGGTAAATCAAGTAACTTCTTTCGTGACAATCAAAAGATACATGCCTTATGTCACATTTAATACTTCGGTTTCTGTATTTCACTGTCATTTGTTACCACATGTTAGTTCGTTTCTCCTGGTGTGACGACTTTGCCCCATTTCATGTTGACAAATTTACGATTTATTGTATTTAAGTAATTAATTCCATTAATTTCAATGCATCTTATTCAAAACCAAAAACAAGGGTTGTAAGCATATTTCATGATACTGTCATTTCAAAGTGTATATTGTGTTTATTGTTCCAACGTGTTCGGCTCCAAGAATTTAAATGCGTGAGGAGATGTTTAGATCACATCCATATCCATCAACTAGATGATTTAATTGATCCATCAACCAGATGATTTAACGGATCCATCAACTAGATGATTTAATGGATCCATCAACTAGATGATTTCATGGATCCATCAACTAGATGATTTAATGGATCCATCAACAAGATGATTTAATGGATCCATCAACTGGATGATTTCATGGATCCATCAACTAGATGATTTAATGGATCCATCAACTGGATGTTTCATGGATCCATGAACTAGATGATTTCATAGATCCATCAACTTGATGATTTCATGGATCCATCAACTAGATGATTTCATGGATCCATCAACTAAATGATTTCATGGATCCATCAACTAGATGATTTAATGGATCCATCAACTAGATGTTTCATGGATCCATCAACTAAATGATTTAATGGATCCATCAACTAGATGATTTCATGGATCCATCAACTAGATGAATTAACGGATCCATCAACTAGATGATTTAATGGATCGATCAACTAGATGTTTCATGGATCCATCAACAAGATGATTTCATGGATCCATCAACTAGATGATTTCATGGATCCATGAACTAGATGATTTCATGGATTATTATACTCTGAGATCATGGGGATCCATCAACTAGATGATTTCATGGATCCATGACCTAGATGATTTCATGGATCCATCAACTAGATGATTTAATGGATCCATCAACTAGATGATTTAATGGATCCATCAAATAGATGATTTCATGGATCCTTCAAATAGATGATTTAACGCAAATGCAATCAAAAATATTAAGTTTTTGCATTTATTTTACAAGGTAAGCATTGCTTTTAAAATGAACTAAATAATTTATCACTCATCAGATATAGAATTGTATACAGAGTACAATTTGATATATTTTGCATATCAAGGTATCAAATGGTTCAAAATTTATGTCAAGTTTGTGATTGTAACATATCTAGAGAATTATTTCATTGTCGGCCTGTTTTGTATTGTTTTGTTTTGTCGAATCGCATCAGAAGATGGAGGTTACACTGTCAAACTGCTGTTCTGTGTCACTTACAATGTCGGCTTCACCCAATACCATAACAATATTTGTCAGGCTATTTAAAAAAATGTATTTAGGTATTGTATTAAGCTAAATAATGAAGCTAAATGTTCACACATATATATTTTAATATATTTATGTATTAATGGTTATGCTGATTGTTTTAAAATTCAGAATATGTCAATTCATATTTTAATGATTGTGAATGGTTAACACTACACATTAACGTAGATAAAGGCTGGTATATCCTTATAACCACAGAAAATATCTGGCTCTGATAATAAGGAAGTATTCTTTTTTAATGCAAATTAAAATCAATATAAATAATATATATATATATTTATATGATATACATGTACTTATCAGTTGTGATGTTTGACGCTAAAGCTAACAGATTTGTATCATCTGTTCATCCGATTGTGTCGGCAGCCCGAGATTCTATTATTATAAATTGCCTCATCTACAGCCCAGTGAGTACAGCTATGTAGTCATCACTAAAAATAGTCTGCGTCACGTTTCCTTTTTTAACGAGTGATACGTTGCATTACGCTTACCGTGATTATTAGAGTACATATTAGCATGTGCTTTTTACAAATTGTCATAAGTATCATACTTATTTTAACTGTACAAAAAAGAAAAAAAGCATGATTTTGTATGCGTATGTACAAAAAATCATCACGTTTGTTGAATAATTAAAAAGGGGGATAACTCGTCCGTTACTCTAGTAACTAAGTTGGTAAGTGCACGGATGGATAATTTATTGTGAATTTACTTCATCCATCACTTTGTCTTTTTACTGATTGTTTACGTATTCTGTTTGATGTATCATACAATTATTTACAGAAACATTGTTTATGAAATTTTATTCAGCTTTATCTTATATGTTAATTACTGTATTGTTTTTGTGTTTACATACTGGTATATAAGATTGATAAGGTTTCTACGTGAATGTATTCGTAATGAGAAAACAGTTATCATTTTTAAGAACCTGTGAAGTAAATACGAAAGGCGGATGATACAAGCTCATTCTCAACGTTTCAACACATTTTTACCAATATTTGGTCGTTTTAATAACATGCTATTTGTTTAGTTTTTGTTTAATCATTTGATTGCAAATCTGCATTTATTGGATTTTTTAATATATATTTTAGTAATTTACTATACAATTAAGAGATTTAACATAAAACACCTCCGTTGCTTTAGATGATGATAAAATTACCTTGACCTTTCACTGAGAATGTTACAATATATAAGTCTTCTTCACTGACCAATCGCAGACACTGTTACATTTTATCAACCCCGTGACCTGAGATTTTTACAGTGTAACAGCCCCCCGACCTGACCTAGTACAGATGCTGTTACAATACCAAATTCCGTCTGATGCAATTTCTAGAAACAGGCCAGGCCTCTAATTTGTGTAAGAGTAAGTTGGTCACCTAAACTAAGTTACTATTTATGCTGAGGTAGATTAGGTACCTGTCTTTAAACATTTATCTAGCGCACAAAATAAGGCATTTTCCGCCAGTTTTCAGTTATCATCATTGCATAATGGTATGGACTCAATTACCTATCGTGCAATCTATTTCTCTCATGTCTCAATTTACCTTCATCTTAAACTCTACTGAGGAGTTATTCTTAGTCTGTTTGTTTATCGGTTAATTCTAAAATCAAAGATCGAATAGTTCATCTTTCTTTATATATCCATACAAAATTTTAAATATTTTTCAAGAGCCTGCTCCGAATGTCATGACTTCCGTGATAAATGTCGACAGTTGACAAACAAACTTACAGCACAGAATGTTCAAAGATGCCGGTTGATGTAGAAGTAGTATGGTGGCCATCATGACCCTAAATATGCAATTTCTTTGTGTGATATGAAGGTATGTGTGTCTTGATCGCAATATGAAGACATGGCATCACTTGGATTTGACCTAAATCTACATACCGGGCGCAGTCGATGAATCAGGAGACGCTTACCCTTCTGGAACACCGGGTCCTATTCTTATTGTACTTTTTTTCCAAGGAAATGAACATATTTCCTCTGTTAATAAATTGCGTTTTATCGACTTTGATTTCGGTTAATATTTTCACTTTTTAATATTAATTTGTTTTGAATCGGTTCATGAATGCACAATATCTTTTCAATATTTAGATTAGGTAAATCTACGTTATATTAATTATCACTGACGCCGGTAGACTTACTTTTGAATTGTGATAAAACAACGTATGTTCCGACTTGTGTCTCGCCACTTTGTTGTTGGTTTTGCATTGAGCATATATGATTAATTTTGTCATAAAGCAAAACTAAAAAAACTTTATTTTGCATGTTTAACAATTTATTCAAAAAACACATAAATCATTCCTGAAACAAAACAGTTGTAGCACGCATATATCAACTCTCACTGTCACAGTTTGATATTCTCAACATGCACGAGGACTTTATATTGATATATAGACTGTAGTATGAACCTTATATTATATAATCGAGATGTCTCTGAATAACACTATTCTGATGTGAATGTTCGTAGTCCATTTCACAAGGATTTCGTCGTGTTGAACTTATAAGAAGTGAAAACACTTCTTCAGCAGACCAACAGACCAACAGCTGTACAACAAATTGTGAAGTTAACTTCCATGGAACTTCAGTTTGTTACGGAGTAGAACGTTATTATGACGTACACTTTGTCGGGCACAGCCTTATAACTTCGTCAGGTACGATGTTTTGTTTATGGCCGGAGTGCCGCTTGACCTCACTGTCATGATGTCTGGGGTACTGTTGTCCAGTATACCACGGTGGTAGTATTTGGTTTCATAAAGATGATGACTCTAGGAAAGTCCTCTGTAAAAACAAAAGGGCAACTGTTAGTCTACAATATCTCGGTAGAATCTAACAGTATTGCGTCAGATAACTGCCCGACCTAATAAACCCATCACTGGTATATACTCCAACAATGTTAGAGGTTTTACACGGCGAAAAACTTTTGACAGGCGCCGCGTAACCTCTTACTGCCCATAGCTGATTTTCCCGATGCTGACTATCACATTTTCCAAGTTCCGATTAAGAAAANATATTTATGAGATCAATATTATATAAACCGTGAGTAGACATCGTTGTCATGAACTGTTAACCACTTATGTGAGTTTTTCAAGCCGATTTTGTTCCGCCCGGATTTCGGGCGGAAACTGCATCAAAGAATTAGTGCTTCGGAAATGAGAGGTCGCAGTCGGCAAAATCATATCCGATTGAAAAAAGGCCGACCAGCGGCCTCTCATGTTATGGGAGTACACTGGTATAGTGCTTATTATATCATCTGTAGGATCAATATTCGTTCCCTTTGGGCAAAGTTCGCTCTAAGTTGACCTGCACTTACAAACATTCTCTAGATTCTTTGCAACACATACTAGAGGTTTTATGTAATTCTTTGTAAGTAATCATGGTTTTGGCTTACCTGTTATTTACAATGATGGAACATCCTTCAATCTGGAGAGTGGATGTCAACGTATTGTACCACGTCATGTTTGAGACACCAGTTACAGAATCGCTCGATGTTCAGCCATTCACATTTCGCTCTGACCTCCTTTGGGTACTGCAAACATAACATAATCGGTTATTGTAACAATTTACATATAGATAGAACTTAAGTATACAATTTTCTGTTTCCTTTACCTCAACCTGTCAATTTGGCAACGATAATTATTTAGTGGCAAAGCTTCATTTGTATGGAAATTAATACAAAAGAAATATGTTTTTGACAGTTACTTAACAGTGAATGCATCAACTTTGATGTTGTAAAATAATGCAATGACATATAAACATGGATAAGGCTTACCTTGACCAGAAGACAGGAGAAATCAACGCCCTGGGACTGTTGCCTTGATACCTTCTTCATCTCTCTCAGTGAAACGTCATTGTTAAACACTTTGTTCAAAACATGGGCGTTGCCAACCTGCAAAAACAATGAATTATGAATATACACTGCAATTTTAACGACGTATTTCATGTTATGTATCAATGTCAGAATTTCTTTTACAAATAGAATAATTTTGCAAAGATTTTTGTCGGAATTTACCAAGCACTATCCTCATGAGAGTCTGTATCGTATTGATATCATATGTGCCTATGTGCATGCATACCTTCAACACTCTGACGTCATTTTCCCAACAGTAGGCTTCTATCAGCGTGTGTTCTATGTCGATTGTAACGTCATGACCTGGTCCGGAATCCGGCAGGATGCACAGCATGACCTGATCCGGGCACCTAGAGTGAGCGAACAAAACACATTAAGATATTAGCAAAAATACATAAACTATCATCAAAACATTTTTATTTTTATAGTGATTTTAATTAGTTCATATATATACGTTTTTAGTATGAATTTCTGAAAACGCACTTGTATATGCAAATCAAGAAAAGTATTGTATTTATTTAAATTCAAAAATTACCTTTGCAATATTTCAGCGCAGTTATAAACGCCAGTGGTCAGTCTGTGTTCCAGTTGTGCGTCCTGTAATAACTTCTCTAGTGACCGACTCACTTCATGTAGAACCCTATAACAAAATAAGTTGTCCCGTTAAATGACAGAAGAGCCATGCCAGTGTAAACAAAACAAATCTATTTATAGCTTTTGCGCATGTACAGTATAGAGTCGCCATGTCATTAAAGCATTAGCAAATGAGTCTGTGTTTTAATGTTAAATTCGAGAAACCATAGGTTAAGTAGTTTTATAAGGACGTTTATTAAAACGTCAATTCTTTTCAGCAAAATGAACGAAATATTTCATCATTTAGGATTTCATCACAAAATTTCGCCTAACTAATATAGGTTGCGCTAACTAATATAGGTCATAATATAAAGTATTGTAAATGTAAAGATTAAAGGAATGTAAGACTTACTGTTTACTCAGGGCCCCACTATCCTCTGGGTACTCGTCCGGTAGAGTCATGTTGTGAAATAAAATAGTTCCTGCACAAAGTATAAATTCTAGCTTCCGCAATTCAAAATACGTCTGTCCTGAATCAGATCTGGGTAAGGAATGCAGAACCCAGTCACGAGTGAGGTGTAGTCCAGTACAGTGGGAATTCCCTAACATAGAACGAATTTGATTGGCTGATACACATACAGTCGTGACTTAACGGTTAACATGGCTAGCCAGGGACTACCTGGTTACTTGTGTAATATTTATAGATATTTCATTTTTATTTTCATAATATTTTATAGTTTAATTAACAAGAAATACTCTTTATCTTGAATTATACTATCATCCGCAATATGCAGTCATAAACATTTTTTGTTTGTACTATATTTCTAAATCCTATTATTGATTTTTTCAAACCATTCCTTATATGAAGCTAAGTATAGGTAAGGATCTTCCCATATAAGTACATTACCTGTCTGAGTCATGTGTATTTTTCCCTTCTTTGGGTATATTATCCTTGGATTGTGTATGGCTATACAATGGGTACAAATATAGAAGTAGCTGGTTCTAACCTACTGTAAGTAGTGTATATTTAGGTATTACAAACCTAGTTTGAAAACATACGATTCATGTCAGATACTAGAAGATTCTTGGATGATTGATGGTACATATATCAAGACTATAACACATTTCAGCACCACCATTATACAAAAACAAATTAAAACATGGGACAGAACGTCTATTAATTGCAGTGGGCAAGTGCATTTCATACGGTTGCAATTCCATTAAAAAAAACCAGAAGTAGACAATATAACAATAACAGAAGAAACCTATATCATTGACAACAAAAGGTTGCTTAGTGATCATTTCAAAATGCTACATCTTACGTTGCAACGCTATCTATTCTCTTTATAAGGAATTTGGCTTGGTATATGTTATTTGAAGTATTTCTGGATATGACACCGTTAAACATCAGTGGAGGAGTCCTGACTATGAAGTAAATGTTGTAGGGGTACGATCTTGCAGAACAACCAAATTTGGTAACGATCAGCGAACGCCAGCAAAATAGTTTTATATTTCTATTTAAGATACATTATCAGCTGTTCCAGGAAGCATCAACTGAAATCACTTTATGGAAAGGCATATTTCAAAGTTCAAACACCTATTCCCAAATATATGTCTATGATCATTTCCTGACAGTATCAAGCACCTATACTGCTTTCTGCGTAGTAGCATATCTGTGCTCGATTAACAACATATTTTATTGCAAATAAACAGATTTAGCAAACAAATCGGACACAGATTTTGCCAACTTATTAAAATCCTTATCGACAATAATCATAGGATTACAATGCATATTGCGGAACGTTAGAGCTACTTAAATATACATATGATAAATAAGAAAGAGTTATAGATAAGTGAGGGGACAAAGAAGAGATGGAGATATATTTCGAAAAATATAGGACACAGCTAACATAAGCTTTATTGCATAATATAATTTGTTTTCATCTACATTCTGAGCAACAAAACATCTATGTTCGGATTGTTTACTACTAAGTATAATAACGAGAGTAATTGACACGAGACGTATGATAAAGGAACAGGCTATCGTGCCACTTGTAACCTCTAGTCGAGATAACTTATCACAACTTTACGACCAACATATAGCACGTCATGTTTTGTAATAATGATGTATTTTCAAGGCTTCAGGTCCACTTATATACATAAAGACCAATGTAAATAACACTAGTTACATAAGGTGGAGTGAACGAACACATCAGTAGTTTACATTGCAATAAAATAATAACATATATATATATATATAATTATAATTATATGGCGCAAAGAAGTAATTCCAACAGTGTGGACAAGTTTAGGTTGTCAAATTTTCGGAGCGATTCGCTCCTTTTTCAAGACACAGTGAAACAGAACAGTTACATGTACATATACATCATATTACAAGAAGATAGAACTGATATACTATAATTGAAAGTATAGTATATATATAATTATAAATACTGCTCATATTTTTCTGATTATCCTTATCTTTTAACTTATTAACCTTTTCCTATAACCGGACACTGAGGATATGGTAACATATCTTCCATTTTCTCGGAACCTTTTTAGTGTTATCATTACTTGGACATTCAAAAATAAAGCATGTCACCTGTCTATTGTTAAAATACCTTTTATTCACGAAGTTAAATTCTTCGCACCGCTATTAGATTGATGCAATGTGAGCGTAATCTATCATGATCATATTTGCAGTTGTATTTTAATCATGATTCGATGCTAATTTTAATCAAGCTTCGATATTTCAATGTTAACGCCTGCTTTAGTGATTTCAAAATAAATATAAAATCATACAGATTTTGTAAGATAATATATAATAATCAGTCATACAAGTATGTTTGAAACAAACAATCAGTCATACAGGTAAATTTGTAAAAACAATCAATCATACAGGTAAATTTGTAAGAAACAATAAATCATACAGATACATTTTGTAAGATATAACAATCAATCATACAGGTAAATTATTAAGAAACAATCAATCATACAGGTAAATTTGTAAGAAACAATAAAACATACAGGTAAATTTGTAAGATATAACAATAAATCATACAGGTAAGTTTATAAGAAACAGTAAATCATACAGGTACATTTGTAAGATATAACAATCAGTCATACTGGTATGTTTGTAAAAACGATCAATCATACAGGTAAATTATTAAGAAACAATCAATCATACAGGTAAATTTGTAAGAAACAATAAATCATACGGGTAAATTTGTAAGATATAACAATAAATCATACAGGTAAGTTTATAAGAAACAGTAAATCATACAGGTACATTTGTAAGATATAACAATCAATCATACAGGTAAGTTTGTAAGAAACAAAAAATCATACAGGTACATTTGTAAGATATAACAATCAATCAATCATATAGGTAAACGTACAATGCTTTATTTTTCTGTATTTAAGTAACACGACGTCCAATAATTATCAAGATATTACACTGTTACAAAGAGATTCGATTAAAAACGACCTTTCCGGTGTCATTCATCATACGATGTCGTTTTGATTATATTCAGAGTCACGCTTGTTCACGTTCCTTTACATTAACTGTGACAACGTTAAATAATATTATGTAAATTTTACGGTACATACTGTTTGAGATACTCGTATGTTGTTGAGTCAGTAATGTATATAATAATGATATGTAAAGGTAAGTTCAGTAAATAGATCGATGGTTAAATATATGAAGTATGTTGCATCACAAGGTCATGATATCATAAGAGCTGTATTTCTTAAACTCGTACTCCACTTTTGTCTTGCTGTTTCACATCCTTATTATGTATTGTATGTAATATGTAATATGTACTCATGGGCCGAAGGCCTAGAGTCAATAAATTGAATTGAATTGAATTGATATTAAAAACACATGACGTCTGATGTAATGTTACTGGAAGCAGTGCACATCCTGTTCAGCAAAAACGTACTTAATAGTCTGTTTAAAACAACAAACAAAAATATTTAACAGAAAAAATCCTCCTTCATGAAAACTACTATCTAAGTGAAACTTCTACCATCTACTTGCAGCATTGCAACATATTCAATAATAAAGGCAGCTCTGTTTCAAATTGTGTTGAAAATGTGTTTAATATTGTTACTTATCAGTAGAAGCAATTATGAAATGCGCCAAAGTCGACCTTCAATCCTCGTTTCGACACACCCATTTCTAAAAAAAAACTGCTTTGGTATTATTTGAACAATATACGTAAGAACTGGACAAAACGTATGAAAAGAACCTTATCAACAAAATACCTGTTTAAACTTTACACATAATTCCCTTCACAAAGCAGACCATGGCGGTCTACCTGTGGGTACGATAAGACAACCCCACTCGGACGACCTGGGGGACAACTAGGCGCGATTGTAAACCTGTTCCAGTTACCGACATTAGTAGTAGAATAGTTATGGCTTCATAATGGCCGGATCACGTGCTGTCGGTGTGAGCTATTAGAACATATGATGATCAATGTTTATGCATGTATAAATCCTACGTATGTAGACTCGTTCATGTGTCTTCATTTTATATCATACTAACGAAACGAGTCTAAGATTGTTTTATTTTGGTCAACCTCTCTTGAGGTAAAAATGGAAACCCTGTAGCGAGTTTCATAAATCTCATATGAAATGGAAATGAATTTATGATGCTTTGAATTACAATATGAAGATTCGTTCTAGGGCTTTTGGTTCTTTAGGAAAAAAGTCGTTTGAAGTTAATAACATATTTGACCCATGTGATATTAAAAGTAGAATATTGCGATAACTTTGAATTTCTACGCCATTTAAGCTCCTACCATTTCTCTGATGTCTCCACTGTGATTTCATAGTATCATTACAATTAAATGACGTCACAATAGGTTATATTACCCTTAATATGTGCACTGAATAACATTGCAAGCTACGTTGCACCTTATACCTTTGATTTGTGATAAAGTTAAGGTTATATGCTACCTAACACATTATACCCGTGTTTTGCGTTAGAGTTAAGTTAATACGCTACTTACACATTATACATGTGCTTTGTGATAAAGTAAAGGCTATATGCTACCTTACACATTATACCTGTAATTTGTGATAAAGTAAAGGTGAAATGCTACCTTACACATTATACATATGATTTGTGATAGAGTAAAGGTGAAATGCTACTTACACATTATACCTGTTATTTGTGATAGAGTTAAGGTTATATGCTACGTTACAAATTATACCTGTAGTTTGTGATAGAGTTAGGCTCTATGTTACCTTACACATTATACCAGTGATTTGTGATAGAGTTCAGGTTATATGCTACCTTACACATTATACCTGTAGTTTGTGATAGAGTTAGGCTATATGCTACCTTACACATTATACCTGTAGTTTGTGATAGAGTTAAGTCTATATGCTACCTTACACATTAACTTGTGATACGGGTTACGGTTATGTGGAACCTTACACGTTATGTGTGTGACCATAGTCACTTGCGTTACACCATTTTCTAAAACTGCACTGGCTTGCATGTTTGACACAGTTAACAAAAAAAGATAAGAACATATGCTGGGGTCACTGTGCTAGAATCAGTT